GGTGAAAATGCCATTTCTAAAAGTGAGCGAGTCATTGCTCCTCGTTGTTGGTAGTACCGAGACCCAGACGGGGGACAGAGGGTGTGGAGTACAGGGAAAGGGCGAAGCGCTGCAGACAGAGTTGCCTGTGGCCCTGGGAAAAGGCACCTTGGGCTTCGGTTCAGATGGATGCCCACTCTAATCTCTGCACCTCTCCGGGTTCTCACGCGGAGGAAACTAAATTTAGCAATCCAGTTTGTGGGAAGGGACCAGGGCAAGGAGTGGGGGATAAACCAAAGGACAAAGGTCAACTTTAGAAAGCTGTTCTACCAGATCTTGTTCTGAAAACTATTCAGGTATTCAAAGACCGAGAATAAAAGGAGATAGGTGGAATTAGCAGAATGAAAACAATTTAAAAGTCTAATGATAAAAAAAAAAAATCTAGGGGGCAAAGAGAAGCAAGAATAAAGCAGAACTTCCTGTATTTCTTTTTCAAAACTCCTTGTCTGATTCCTATTTTAAAATACAAAGAATAAAATTCAGTTGTGAGATGATCCCATGTGTCAGATTTTTGAAGATTTTGCTCCCCCTTTAACCTCCCAGTTCTCATTATTTGGACTTGTGTCCTAAACAGATAACTGAGTAAAAAGAAATATAGCTCTGTTCATTTTGACATGGAATAAAGCTATAAAGCCAATCCATTCAATTCCTTTTTAAAACTTCTTGTTTGGAAAAAGAGACAGTTTGGTCACAGGAAGAAATTTTAATCCATGATTCCATGAAAAAAGGAAATAGAAGAATTCTTTCCCGTATTCAGTCTTCTGCCACCTACAGGGGGTCCAGTTCTTAAAGAGGACTTTATGAAAGAAGATTGTGATTTCAAAGCAAAATGGGATTTTATAAAGCATATACCTTGCTGCTCAGAATGTAACGTGGAGAGGTGAACAGAATGTTTCCAACCTGAATGCATCCTTAACTGAAAGGTTTGGGGCAAATTTGAGCTGTGTTCTATTAAGCCAAGGTGTGAAACTCCTCTAAGGAGCAAGAAAACTGTCCTGTTGCGATGTATTCCTGGCATTATACATCTGAGTTTTAAAGGCTGTACAGTAACGTTTGGGCAGCAATTGTAAAAGTTTTCTCTTATATCTTTAAACTAACAAACTTTTAAAGAGACCTTATTATCAGCATGGAAACATCTAAAGATTGTATGTAGTTCATGGGTATATTTTATCTTAAACTACTTTGTGATTGTTGGAGAATGTATATGTTATTGTGCATTCAGGTTGGAATGAGTCATTCCCTTTTTTTATTTTTCTCTAAAAACACTGTTTCTTCTTATGTTCAAGCTCTAATATATATTTATGTATTTATATATACTTGAACGCACACATATGAGCTTAAAATAAGTATTTTACTGATGCTTCTGAAATGACTGTGTTAAGAATGGAATATGTTCATGTAAGTTCACATAAAATCTAAAGTTCTTTTTTTGGTTCAGTGTTTAGAAAATTCTCGATAATTTAGAATCTCCACAATGGAAAGTAAAGCATTCTGTCACAAAAGCAGGGAGGATGAGACACAAGGTCAAAGTGCATTTTAGAAACAAACAGCTGGACCAGTTTATTTAAACAGATACAGGGATGGGGGAACTGACCTCTGTTTGACTTATGGTGGGAGGAGCAAGAATGTCATTTTATTACTTTGCCCAGAAGGAAAATGTTTTTGTATCTGAATTTACCCTGAAGCCATCTAAACACATGGCTTGCTGTCTATAGCGGACTTCTAAAGAGAATCCATATAAGATAGTCTAAGATAATGATAAAGAGAATCAAATGTTGAGATGGTTTTAAGATCAAAGAGGTGATGATTTAAAAAAACAAAATATTTTGCTACTAGTTATTTTTAGAAAAAGATGTCTACCATGATCCCAGATAATAACATATTTCATATAAGTACAGGAATTAGAATTCAGTAACATTCTGAGAGTTTACGATGTCCTATAGGAGTTGATGAAGTTTCAAAAATGAGGAGTTTTGAACAGGCAGTCCAGTGGTTTAGACAAAGTGATTAGGTGTTCTTCGGTTTTCAAGTTTTATTATTTTTATTTTACCGAATGAAATATCTTCGTATCTATCCTGTAGGTAGCCTTTGCCTACAGGTATTGTCAATAACAACAACTGGTTATTGCCACCAACGGAAAAGCAAACAGTACCTAGTACCTGGGGCCCTTCACTGAGAGGCTGTGGTGAAGTGTCTACTCACAACATCACCCCGCCCCCCATACCTGGGACCAGATCAGAGCTAGAGGAACTGCATTTAGTGTTGTCCATTGGAGACCTTCAGAGGCGCACAGACAGACCTCAGCCTAATGAGCAGAGAGTGGCCCAAATGATGAGTGGACTTAACATCCTAGAAGAACTCACATTCTAGAATGAACTTGTTAAGAATCACAGATGAGTAACCCAGGGAGAAGAGGGGAGCAGCTAATGGAGCATGATGGCTGTAGTTTAAATATTTGAAAGGCAGTCCTGAAGAAGTGAGATTAAAATTGTTTAAATTACCCCAAGGAGTTGTCCTGGTGAAAGCACTTTAGATCGAGTGAGGCAGAAGCTGCTAACAGTTGCCTTGTCCATAAAATGAATGGACTCTCTGGTAAGGTGGCAAGTACTGTATTAGAAACAGACAAGCGGAGACTACTCATCTACTAGGTGGGGATATCAGAGTGGGAATTCAGGTCAGTGACCAAGCTAGGTGACCGTGAAAGCCCCTTCCAAACCTGAGGTGTAATATTTCTACCATTCCCTGGGTTTAACAGTCATGGATTCAAGCCTGAGTTGGTTATTAGGAATTGGTCTTTGGGAATCTGAATGTACAGCGTCAAGGAGGCAAGCTTTGGAATATAGATAACTCAAGCCACTGAATCAAGCCACTGTGCATAGCTTTATCTTTGTCTACATAAGAAGTACAGTCCTCAACATCTCCAATCTGCAGAACGTTCAGTCATGCTTATTCTTGGAATCAATGATAGAGTTTTTGCTAGTGGTGATTGGCTCAAAACCAGCTCATTAAAAAATATCTGTGTAGTTCAGAATATTCTAGATGGGTGGCACACTAGAGGCAATGCTCTGGCTAGGACATTAAAGAGGGGGTTACTTGCTACTGTTTGCCAGCTGTGTGTCACTCAGCAAATTATTAACATCACTTGGGTAACATGTGATCTCAAATAAGTCACTTAATTTCTCTGAGCCGTGGCTTCTCATCTGTTAAAAAGTGCTCTTCCTATTTTTAGATAAATATTATGTTTTTCAAAGGGTTTTTCAAAAGTTATCAGACAGAGTTTCTTTCCTCTAAGAGCCTATTGTTGAACAGTAGCACAAAGAGTTGGTTTTTGCTCTTTTACTTGTGTTAGTTACTATGAAAATTACTTCTGGTATGTGCAGAATATTAATATTAAATAATTTTCTAATTGGTCATGCAGTGAAGGCAGCTAATGAAAAAGCAGATTTTTTTTCATTTTAATTGGTTATTTCACATGGTGTTTGTGCTACACCTGTGCTTATAATGAGAATGGAGAATTAATCTAACCTTCTGCTCACATGATTCCAATTTTCATGGTTTATACAAGATAATGATAACCTGATTTGCAACACAATTTGTTTTAGATCTGAGTTTTAAATATTTTTATTAGCAGTTCAGGGACTTCATATACAAGAACAAGAATATATATTGCCAATAAGAGTTAGCATCAACAGTGTCCTTTTATAGTGAGATTCCACTGTCATTATTTATTTTAATTACTTCTCAGATAATGAAAAAAACATAAGAATGTAAAGATATTGAGAATCTTGCAATGCCATGAAGTATTCATTTTTATTTTAAAAACCTGTCCCTGTCTGTTTAATGGTTTGGTTTTGGGGAACTATTTTCCCACCTGAAGAGGGGAGACTTACAAACTGCAATTCATACTGGACTGTGGATCTTTTAACTATTCATAGTGCATTATTAAACTTTTCATTGTATTTTTATGTGCTGCTCATGTTCAATATACTCAAATCTGAGTTGAGAACTAAAAATAGTTTACTGTTTCAGAATCGAATCTGTCCTGTTCATTTTCTGTATTTGATATGTAATTCTTAGTATTATGCAGTACCAATGGATCTTAAGAATTAGAAATGTCATGAACATGACTTTGGAAAGCTTGTATTAACCACTTCTTTATTTTTCTGGTGGGCAACAAAAATGGTAAAAAAAAATGTTATTAAGTGACTTAACTATCTTAAAAAGATGTTTATTATAGATTTTCAGGTCTAGCTGGAGAAAGCAAGATTATAAGTTCAATTACTGAGTAGCTGTGACCTCACCTTGACCTCAGACTTTGCATAAAGAGAAAAAAAAAAAAAAAGCCACCCCAAGAAATCTCTACAAGGAATGCATTTCTCTGAAGTCCCCAGCAGTGTGAGTTAGTGGTGATAAACTCCAGACATTCCCTCATTTGATGGTGTGCTGCCATCCCAGTTCATTATCTTAATAGTGGGCATTAAAATAGAATTAGGTTTGCAAGAGGTAGGGAAGGTTTCGATAGAAATTGTAAAAAAAGAAGTCAGAGAACATAAGACTGAAATGCCTCTAATTAGGAGGGGTAACAGATGCCCTCATGGACACCTCGCTCTTTCCACCAAATTTCCCCCCTTGTGATTGAAAAGAGTGGTGGCTAGTATTGTTTCCTGAAAATTCTGCTAATTCCCCCATGAAAAGATGAAATGGAAGTGTCCAACTGTGGTAAAACAGGCAAACATAAATCAACTCAGAAACCCCAAGCCTGTGTACTCAGAGGTCACTGGGGGTTACAGGTTCTGCCGCATGTGAAACTGCACATAGAGCTGGGGAGAGAGGCATTCTGCCAGGATCCAGTTTTGCTCTCACTGTGATTCATCTTCTCTTCCTCCCCCCCCACCCCACCACTTTGTTTTGTTTTGTCTTGTTTTAAGGAATAATGATTTGCTCTACTTTCTTGGTTACAGGTTTATTAATGCCCGGAGAAGAATAGTGCAGCCCATGATAGACCAGTCCAACCGAGCAGGCAAGTCCCCCATAGTGACTGTATTCAAGTCACTCAAGCGAAAACCATCCTCAAGCCATTCACCGGGAGGTCGGATACCTGGTAAATAAACTGGGAGTGAGTGCTAGGAGCGCCTGGCAATTAAAATGAAACCAGTTTCATTTCATAACAACACTAATCAATTTAACATCATTATAAAATGTTTGGAGAAGGTGAAAAAGAAAAACGCCAACAGAGAAAAGTCACTCTTAAATCATATGCTCAGTTACAGTATTCTTTGTACACATTCAATATATTAATGTTATTTTTTTTTTCCCTGAGTTTGCCTTCCCAGCTCTTTCTGCTACTATGACCACTCCCTGGTGCATGGCTTGGTGTGGAATTGCTGTAAACTTTATTACCTGTCAAAAGGGCAAAGGGGTCAGGATCGCTTGTGGGACTCAGTAAAGTTCAAAGACATTCAATGAGGTAGAGCTTTTGTGTGCTTTAATAACCCAAGGCAGCTTACTTCTGAAGCAGCTTTTCATGTACAGTTAAAACATGGGATTCGAGTGGTGGTATAAATACACGATTCTGATTTCTCAGGCCTTTTCTTGTTAATATCCATCTTCTGGTGTTCAATTTTTTTGTTGTTGTTAAATAACTGCTGTTTGTGTTTTGATCAGAGCTTAAAATGGCAATACATTTATAGGATCCTGGCTGGCAGATCTAAAAATCCAAGAGACATCTTTCTAGGATTTGTTTTTGTATTGTAATGTATCAGTGAGGTCAACAACAGTATTTGCCATGGGTCTGTACTTTCTTTACGAAACACTCTCATGTCGGAGAGAGCTCCATGAAAAACTAAGTTAAACACCACATTGAATCACTACATACGTAGTCATATTCCTGTGATTTTTTTCCTTTCAACGACCATTATGTGATCACTAGACAAAAACCCAAACTTGAACTTTCTGTGTCTTCACTATTCTTTGAACAGTGTTTTAAAACTTGGTTACTGAGGTATGGAGGGCTGAAATTTAACTTAGAATGTTTTAAAATTATACCTGCCTGGTCTGTTTTCTCCGACTCTCTCGGGCTATTCCGTTCTCTCCCGGAGACTGTTATTAAGAACTTGTGTTTTGCACTTTTGTAGTAAGTCAAGGAACACCTTATAACCCCGATGGACAGCCAATGGGAGGTTTCGTAATGGATGGTCAGCAACACATGGGCATCAGGGCACCAGGTAAGACTGTTTTGTGGTTGCTTCTCATTTGTAATTCCAAGAGTGCCACCCCCATCAGCACAGGTAAATTCATTTCATCCTTTGCTGTTATCTCGAGCTGCCTGCTTGCCTGCCATCTGCGCATCTAAGATATTGCAGAGGGGAGCCAGAATCTTTGTGCACTGAAGATCTCACTGTTTCTCAACCCTCTGGAACCTGGTTTTTTTTTTTTGTTTTTTTTTTTAAGGGTCTTTTGGCACTATCTGTTGACTTTGCTCATTTTCTGGCCTCTTCTTGGATTTTTATCTCCCTTCTAGGACCTATGAGTGGAATGGGCATGAATATGGGCATGGAGGGGCAGTGGCACTACATGTAACCTTCATCTAGTTAACCAATCGCAAAGCCAGGGGGAAGTAAGTACAAATGGGGTCTTTGTTTTCACTTTGTCCTAGGAATATTTTTCCTCTTGCATTTTCTTACGTTCTCCTTGCCCATAGCTTCATGCTTGTTCATTCCTTTCCATTAAACTCCTGGTTTCTTGCTTCCTTCATTTTCTCCTTGGTTGTGATCAGGCTTTTAAGCTTATAAATACTGTGTATGATGTACATTTATCCTGTGTGTTGCTATTATACAGTACTGACCACATGACAAAATAAGAAACAGTCAGGAGGTGGGGGAGTGGGTTGTCATAGCAACAGACTGATTTGCAAAATGTAAGCAGTCTGCAGCAGTGCAAGGAGAGGAAAGAGCATGTCCCCAAAGTGTCATAAATCTGTCTAACCGCAGTTGATGCATGAGTTACATTTCTACACTAACCTGCAAGACACTGAAAAGCCAAACAGAGACTTCTTTTAGGGAAAATAAACACTAGCTTTACTTAGGGTAAGTAAAGGCATATTTTGAGCTTCAGTCAACTAAACTTTGATTTTTTTTTCTTAGTTTATTCCTTTGTCTGTCCATCATAATGGGATTACGTGTGGCAATGGAAAAAGGGAGAATACAAAATAGAGGTGTGCACAGCAGGCTGCAGGGCTTAGCCCAGGCTAATTGACTATATCCAAATTAAGTATGCCATCACTTGCAGTGTGACAAATGGATTTGACTTATTCAGTATACAAAAATAGAGATCATTAATGCAATCTTCAGTGGCAGGCCTAGTGAAGTGGGCCTAGGAAAACTGTCCCAGATTCTGGCGCTCGCATTTTCTCTCCGAAAAAGACACTCCAGTGATTCGTGTTCAAACAAGTAAGGCTGTTTTGAACACCAAAGCTTCTTGTTCACTTCCTAAATTACCCCTAATAGCATTGCTCGAGCTTTGTTTCTGAAATTAAAAGCAGTTATGTCCAAGTCTTGGTTGTGTCTCTGATTATATTAACACACTATTTAAAATCGCTGCTGAGGCCAAGGGTAATTCATATTGGTCTTCCTCTCTGGGTGTGAGTCAAATATAAGTTTAACAATTAGCTCCTGAAAACATTCCACTGAGCTCGGGAATGCAACAGTCTTATTACCTCATCATGGAATTCTCTAGCTTAGTTAATTTAAATATTGTTTCTTAGTTTCTGGGTCAATTAAATTTAAATGATGTATTTTATGCTTCGTGACCAATTAAATTAATAGGTTATTACAAAAAATATTATCATCTTTTTTGATTAAAGAGCTGTGGGTACAGTATATTTTATAAGCAATTTTCATTAGTTCAAAAATGTTCCTTTAGGCTAGATTAAGCAGCCATTCATTGCTAGAGCCTGGAGACCTTATTCGAAGGTGTTCATCGTATTCACAGTGCACTATTACTTAGAACTAAAGCCAATTGAACCTACTTAGCAATAGCGTTATGCCTTTCACCCTTGATGATTATGGAGCTTATAGCTCTCAGAAACAATACACCTGTCAGTTTCCATCAACTATAGCAATCCATGCAGAAGACAAGAGGCCCCTCAAAGCAGGAGGGGTATTGTTTTAGGTCCAATTTTTCTTATTGTTCTCAAAATCATTGTAAGGTGGACAGGGTTTTGTGAAGGCTTTCTTTTCCCCAGCTCTAAGAAACCACGAGGAAGGAATTCATTGATAACTGTTATTGTTTTGTTTGGTTTCAGTGTTTTAAAGTACAGGTTTAGCTAAGTAATCAGCCACAGTGAGCCTGTCTAGTTAGTTTCTTGTGAGATGTTGCATGACCAGTGCAGGGTACTCTTGTGCTCTTGGCAGAGAATGTTTCAGGGAACAAAAGTGCTTCTTCAGACCAGACCGTAAATAACAGTTTTATTTTTTTTAAATAGAAAAGACCCCAGTAGGCTGATCTGGTAACAGTGACAATGAAAGGAAAATAGTCGCAAAATGTGTTTCCAGCATAACATTTCTCATTTTGTTTTCTTCTGTATGAATCAAAAGAATACCTTACAGAGCCATGTTCCCTTAATCACAATGTCCCCCGGCCTTCATAGAATTGCCATAGACAGAACCACACCATTGCCTTTTCATAATATTTTCTTTTTGTTTCTTTCTTTTGAATTTCTACAGGGCTGCAAAGTATGCCAGGGGAGTATGTAGCCCGGGGTGGTCCAATGGGTGTGAGTATGGGACAGCCAAGTTATACCCAACCCCAGATGCCCCCCCATCCTGCTCAGCTGCGTCATGGGCCCCCCATGCATACGTACATTCCTGGACACCCTCACCACCCAACAGTGATGATGCATGGAGGACCGCCCCACCCTGGAATGCCAATGTCAGCATCAAGCCCCACGGTTCTTAATACAGGAGACCCAACAATGAGTGGACAAGTCATGGACATTCATGCTCAGTAGCTTAAGGGAATATGCATTGTCTGCAGTGGTGACTGATTTCAAATCATGTTTTTTCTGCAATGACTGTGGAGTTCCATTCTTGGCATCTACTTTGGACCAAGGAGCATCCCTAATTCTTCATAGGGACTCTTAAAAAGCAGGAAATACCAACCGAAGTCAATTTGGGGGACATGCTAAATAACTATATAAGACATTAAGAGAACAAAGAGTGAAATATTGTAAATGCTATTATACTGTTATCCATATTACGTTGTTTCTTATAGATTTTTTAAGAAAAATGTGAAATTTTTCCACACTATGTGTGTTGTTTCCATAGCTCTTCACTTCCTCCAGAAGCCTCCTTACATTAAAAAGCCTTACAGTTATCCTGCAAGGGACAGGAAGGTCTGATTTGCAGGATTTTTAGAGCATTAAAATAACTATCAGGCAGAAGAAGCTTTCTTCTTGCCTAGGATTTCAGCCATGCGCGCGCTCTCTTTCTCTCTCTCTCTTACTGTCTCTCTCTCTCTGTCTCTCTCTGTCTCTCTCTCTTTTCCTCTCTCTCCCTCTCTCTAGCCTGGGGCTTGAATTTGCATGTCTAATTCATTTACTCACCATATTTGAATTGGCCTGAACAGATGTAAATCGGGAAGGATGGGAAAAACTGCAGTCATCAACAATGATTAATCAGCTGTTGCAGGCAGTGTCTTAAGGAGACTGGTAGGAGGAGGCATGGAAACCAAAAGGCCGTGTGTTTAGAAGCCTAATTGTCACATCAAGCATCATTGTCCCCATGCAACAACCACCACCTTATACATCACTTCCTGTTTTATGCAGCTCAAAAACATAGACTGAAGATTTATTTTTAATATGTTGACTTTATTTCTGAGCAAAGCATCGGTCATGTGTGTATTTTTCCATAGTCCCACCTTGGAGCATTTATGTAGACATTGTAAATAAATTTTGTGCAAAAAGGACTGGAAAAATGAACTGTATTATTGCAATTTTTTTTTTTTTTTTGTAAAAGTAGCAGTTTGGTATGAGTTGGCATGCATACAAGATTTACTAAGTGGGATAAGCTAATTATACTTTTTGTTGTGGATAAACAAATGCTTGTTGATAGCCTTTTTCTATCAAGAAACCAAGGAGCTAATTATTAATAACAATCATTGCACACTGAGTCTTAGCGTTTCTGACGGAAACAGTTTGGATTGTATAATAACGCCAAGCCCAGTTGTAGTCGTTTGAGTGCAGTAATGAAATCTGAATCTAAAATAAAAACAAGATTATTTTTGTCATGCTGACTCCACTGCTTGAAAAATTTGTTTACTGCCCCCCAAATTTTTGATGATTTTGCAGTAAATATAAAAATTAATTTTGGCTCCCTAAGACATATACGTTTTGAAAATTTTAACCACAAAGTAAATTATTTAATAACAGTTACTGATTTCTTTAAGCTGACTTAATGAACTCCTAATATCAGCAAATTTAAGGCCTAAGGGCACTAAACTAACTGTAGACTCAGATTACATCCAACAGAATTACTCATCTAATATCAGTGAAATTATTCTTGCACATAATGGCAAACCAAGTACAGAGTTAAGTCTTTTACTACGGATATTACCTACAAAGAGCAGTATATGTTTATTAGGAAATTAACTACATGGATTGAAGAGACCAGACTTCAAAATCTAATTTTTATAAATATGCTCTATGTTCTCATTGGATAAAACTGGTTATTAACTAATTTTCCAGAACAGCTGTACAGAATTTCTGCATGGCAGCCAGCTAAATGGTACAAAATAACATGTTTAAGCTGGGATAGCTTATAATTTTATTTAAATAAAATTGCTGCTATAAAAGTGCTTCCCATAGCTAAGAAAAATATACAAATATTTTAATTAAGGCAAATTCGTTTTAAAAATCAGGCTTTTAGCAGTGATTGCTTTGTAAACAAAGGATGGGTCGGAGGAGAATTCCTTAAACTCAAGTCTGACATTCAGGCCCGAGTCACTCTATAAACTCGCCCTGAACAATTCTATTTTCTATTTGAAAAGGGAAACCAGCTGTGGGTTGGGTTTACTAGGTGACGTGTGATTGACTGACTCACCTGCAGGAGCAGCAGCGCGCACTCTCACCTTTTGTTTATGGGGCCTTGTTTCTAAACACGTGGATGCGCGGAAGGAGAGTCGTACTCAGCCTTCGGCAGCCTCCCGGCGCAGCGCCCTCCACCCCACCCCGCCCCCACCCCATATATGGGATTGTTTAAATTTCCCCTTTGGACCCGGTGGCAATTCTTCGTCTACATAAATAGCCCATATTAGTGAAATACTTCTCTTTTGATAGGTGGTTACTAGCCGTTAACAACCATTTATTTACTTTAAAAATTAATAATAAACTTTATAAACTAACCATCCATTTGCCCCTCCTCCCCAGTACATGCCTGGGTGAGCTGGTTATTTTCAGCCTTTATTCTTGAGGAAGGTCTTGCTGGGTGGGGGAGGGAAAGAAAGGGGAGGAGGTAGGGAGAGAAAGAGAGAGAGAGAGAGAGGGAGAGAGGGAGAGAAAGCGCGAGACCGAGCAGAAGGGTACACGTGAACAGGAATTAGGGAATATGGAGGCTATGAAAAATCAAGATCATTAGTGTCCAGTGAATTAGAAAAATAAAAATAAAAACAAATTGTGTTCTTTCCTGCGTTCCCCACTCTGTGTGATGGTTTTGTGACAGCCTGGCTTTCGTAGGTCCTTTTTTCCCTGCCTCGACACCCCTTCCTCCCCCTTAGTGCTATTTTAGCTCTTCCTCTGGTAAATTTCAGAGCCAGTTCCGAGGTTATTGAGGACACTTATCCGAAAGAGGGAAATAATAGAGGTGCTGAGAGTGTTTTTGATGTTTCTTAAATGGCAAAAACAAAACGCCCTCTTCTAAACAAGGGCATACAATTGTACCTGCTTTTTATTTATATTTGGGGAGGGGGGCTAAAGGAGACTACTTTTTAGTATGATTTAAATATTTCTCAAAAAATTAAAAATATTTTACCCTTTCATATTTAATCAGCTTTAATTATAACACATTCAAAATGAATAATATGTCTTGACAGTATTTTTATTGTTATTGTTCATTGCATGATGTTCGACTGCTTTAGAAGCACAGGAAAGAGAAGTAAACGCGCTACAAATGGGGAATTACCCTCGTTTAGCATTAAAATTCATTTAGATAAAATTGCCACAAACATTTAAATGGGAAGATTAGTTCCCCCTCACGCCTTATTGCACTCGCTCAATGGTTCCGTTAAGAACATTTTACACGTTGGAAATTCCGTCTTCTCAGACGGCTTGCTGTTTCCTAGTTACCCACATTCAAAGCAAAGGCAGCAGCAAAGGCAGCCGCAGCCGCAGCCGCAGCCGCAACAGCAGCAGCCGCAGCAGCAGCAGCAGCAGCAGCAGCAGGGGAAAAAAAGTTTTGGCAACTGGTCTGCAATTCATCCGCTGCCGGCCCCAGCCCCGCCCTCCGACCCCCCCCCGCCCCCCCCCCGCCCTGGCTCACAGCAGCCCTCCCCCCACCCATCACCTTTACCCACCCCTACCTCTTCCTTCTCCCATTATGTAATTTACAGCTAGTCCCATCCTGGAAGAAACAAGTTGCTCAGTTGTTTAGTATTTGTATATAATGTTAAAATACAAAGAAATATTAAAAAGCCAGTCTGTCTCTCTCCCGGTCTCCTCTCTCCCTCTTCTGTTCTGAATTGAGGGTTCAGTTTGAAAGTGCTGAGTTTCTCACATCTCCTACTCTGAGCCCACAGGCACGTTTTTTGGCTTTCTTTTCTGCCAGGACATTTCCAGGAAATTCGCCACTGCTTCTTGCTTGTATTAGAAACGTGTGAAAGAATTAGTTTGAAAAGTCCATGAAACGTCTAGTTTCCCCCTCTCCTCTCGCCCGCTCGCTCCCTCCCTCCATTCCTCTTTTCCTCCCTCCTCTCCCTCCTCTCTCTTTCTCTTCTCCTCCCTCTTCCCCCTCCCCTAGCAGAGCCGCAGGAAAAGAAGAATATCGGCTTCGACTGCCATCTTTTGGGGATTTGGAAAAACGACTCGGTAGGAAACGGAGGGAGGCGGAGGCGCGGAGGGTGGGGGGAAACCCCCTTATTATCCTGTGTCGGAACTGGCTCCCTTAATCTGATGTTTAAATATTTGATGTGGAAAAATTACCCATAAAATTAGTTACTAACAATTTCAAATTGAAATCACTTATCGAATTATAAACGCATTAAAGCTGTATGGATGGTATTAGGAGTTCCTCGGGAGGCAACGGGTGTCTCCTTGCAGCGCGCCCGGTCGCCGAGTTTCGCCCCGGGGAGAGGCACTCCCGCGGAGCCTGGGGAGCGAGTGCGCAGGGCGGCTCGGCGCTCCGGGCGCCAGCGGTCCCCACCGGGGGATCGAGCGGCCGCCAGGCCCGAGCAGTGGCTCCGGCTCGCTGGACTCGCGGGGGCGGAGAAGAGGGAGGGGAAGGAGCAGCGAGGGGAGGCTTGGACCCCCGGGCAGAGGCGCCTACCCGGAAACTTCGCAGTGAAGTCGCGAGATTCGGAAAAGGAAAAACACAGCACCATCCGCCCCCTCCCGACCGCGTCTCCCACAAGGCGCGCGTATTTTGCACTCGGCATTGGTTGCTGTGTGCAGCGCCCCCCAAGTCTTCGAGAGGGCAGCAGGAGGGCAGATGCCGGTAGCCCCAGGCTAGGCCGGGCTCCGCGCCACAGGAGAAAATCGCGCGGGCCGCGGTGGCAGCTGCAGAGCGGTGGCCAGGACGCGGCTACCCTTGCTTCCTATGGTGCCTGCGTCTGGGTGCCTAGGCGCACAGGTCTCTACTCAAGAGCCCAGAGCGCCTTGGGGGTGGGGGGCGGCTCCCAGTAGCCTGCTTCTTCCTCCCCATTGCAACATGAAAGTCAAGTCTAAGGGTACTGCTGATTTTGTCTCTGGAGACGAGGCAACCACGGGTCATCGCAGAAGATTCTGGAGAGGCACCTACTTGAGGAACTATGGGTCCCCTTCCCTGGGAACCGCTCGGGGGTGCTTTGTAGTGCACTTGAGGCTTCTTGATGGACTCTGTTCCCGAAACCCACGGTGACTCTGGGAACCGAGACTCCGAGAGGTTGAGGTCCAGAGGGCACTTGGGACCTGGGCAGAGTCCGTCAGGTGGGCCACGAGGGCCTGGGAGCCACATTAGGGGAGCCGTGGACGCCACAATGCCTCATTAAAACCTCTGCAAACTTCCCCCCTACCTTTTGGATCCCAGCAGGCCCTGGACCCATGTGAAGGCAGTAAAAACATGACATTGTAAAGCTCCCGAGTAGGCGCTTGGACAGCGGGTGGAGTGGCCTGCAATTGGGTAGTGGGGCGCCCTGCCTGGCCGAGTATTTTCTCTGATCTCGGTCCCCTCTCCTGTACCCACCCCCAAACCACCCCGCGCCCAGTTGGATGTTAGGCGGCCCGCAACACTCAGGGTGGCCAGGTGCAGAGTCCAAGTAAGGTTGGCCATCCCAGGGCCCGAGAAAGAGCCATGAGGGAGAGTAATCGCCCCTTGAAGGAGGAGGCTGATGGCGGGGAGGGGGTGTGGGTTCCTTTTTTGGCCCAACCTGCCAGCCAACGCGTCAGTAACGTCCTCTCCCAAGGCGGAGCTGAAAGGAAAATCATACTGTATTGAGCCCTCAGTTCTCCAGCATTTGAGCTTTCCAGAGTCTGTGCTCTAAAAACGGATACCTCGGGGTCTCGGTGGGGAGACGAAGGACATTTTAGGGTCTAGGTTCTGGCGGGTCACGCTGGGGGGGGGGGGGTCGTCCCTCCGAGCGCTGCCTCAGGCTCGCGGCGCGCTCAGCCCACCGAGGGGAAACGCGGGCGGTGAAGCCCTGGAGAAAAGGGATTTAGTTTTAAGCCAGTCTCCCATCGATCAGATCGGTAATTCTTACCCCTGCCCACTCGCAGACACACTCACCTCTACCCTAAAGCATTAAGTTCATTACGCGAGCAATGATTTTAATCTCCAGGCGGAAAATGAGTCCCGGGACTTGGCGGATTAGGGAAGTAGTGAATAAAGTCACCTGCTCACGCACCCGCCCGGCTGGCTCCTCCCGGTTGGGGCCTGGAGTGGCAGGGCGCGTAGCGCAGGGGTCCCTCGCACCGCGCCCGGGCCTGCTCCCCAGGGTCAGGAACCCTGTGTCTGCTTTCTTCGGGGTGGCAACCTTGTTCTAGAGTGGGATTGC